GGTGACGGTCTCTGGTCAGAAGGTCTTTGTGGTCAAACGTCAGCACAACCAGCAAGAGCCAATCAGTGTGTAGAAGCTCAGCTGGGTTACAGAGTTGCCATGACGATGATGTTTTTGATGTTTAAAGTTTGTGTGAAATAAAAGTTTTTGAACATGAAACTTTTGGTCTGATCGAGTGGAACTGTGAAGGTGTTAATGCTGAGCATCCTACCTGTAGGACCTGCTGTGAGCAGACCCTGAAAACATGGTTTAACCTTTGTGCCCACCAATTTTCCATCCTTTCGACACCTTCGTGTACAAAAATGTAGACACACAAAGTCTGCCATAAAGTCCTCATACAGTAACATTTTGTTCTGCTTTCTGGGAAACGTGGCCGAATGTTCTAATCGTGGTCGTTGGCCCGCTCCCTTGGTGGCTCAGTTTGGCTGGGTGTCGGGTGGTCCTGGGTGCCTGGGGCCATGCTCTCAACTCTTACCAGGGTGGTTGGCCTCTACTCTAGCAGGATCGACTGTCCACTGCCTCTGGTCCTCTGTGGCTGTCACCCCATGTGGGGCCTCCCTCCCTTCTGCTGGGATGGGTGTGCAGAAGTCACCGGGATGTGTGGTCTCAGGTCATTGGTACACTTGGGGGCTGCAGCTGGTGCGGTTGTCCTGGTTCCATCTGTCTGCCTCGGGGCATCGCTGCAGTTTCTCACCCTCATTATACATTTGTGACAAAGACACAGGCATTCTCACACTCATCTACTTGTATATACTCACTCATATATAATGTAACACCAACACAAATGGATAAATAAAAAAAACATTCACATGAAGGAGGAGCCTATTAGATTCTATCGAGTTATTTTTGAAAAAGCAAAATGTGTTGGGCAATCACATAATTCTGATTGCAAAAGCATGACATTCTTGCATTTTTGCCAGTTATGACATGAAGCCATGTGACCACCAGGGGGCCCCAAGAGTAATTTATATGGAAATCAACATCTGATTCATTGATGGAAACAGAACAGACAGGCTTTGTGTGTGTGATGGATGCATGTGTGGGTGAGGATGTGCAGGTCCTGCAGCATGTGACCTGGTGCCCTCTACAAATAGACGGGATCCACTTGCAGGTGGAAGAAGAGCTTCTTTTTAGACCTGTGCAGAACCAGTACACATCTCTCTTTCTGCTCAAGCTGATGGTAGCAGTGACAGCATCTGTGTTTTCTGTGAGGGCAGGAGCAGAGGTCTGTCACTCTGCCACCATTGCTCCAGGTCTTTCTCCTTCTCTCATTACTAATGAAAGGTTTCCTCAGCCAAGCTGCAAGCTTATTGGCTGTGAAAGCAATCAGGTGCATAAACATGCTAACAAGAGTTTTTGTTTGAATACAGTAAAAGCAGGAGGCCATATTTATCCTGAAGACCTTCTGCAAAGATACATCTCTCCAAGACAGGGGTGGGCAACTCCAGGGCTTGAGGGCCGGTGTCCTGCAGGTTTTAGATGTGTCCTTGATCCAACACAGCTGATTCAAATGGCTAAATTACCTCCTCAACATGTCTTGAAGTTCTCCAGAGGCTGGTAATGAGGTAATCATTTGATTCAGGTGTGTTGACCCAGGGTGATGTCTAAAACCTGCAGGACACCGGCCCTCGAGTCCTGGAGTTGCCCATCCCTGCTCCAAGATGACCTTTATTCACCCCCAAATTATTAGTGCACGTTTACAGATTTACACACACTCTCAGATACACGCACACACTACACAAAAAATACTAATGCAATCAAATTGATTTTGTTGCTGATCTTTAACACGTCCCATCCCCATACTATTTATCATATGGAAAATATTTAGTTTTGTGAGTTTTTTTCAAAAATATTCAGCTGTTTAAACTGGCATTTAAAGGATTAAAGTCCTGAAAATAATTTAACATTTGATCATTTTGAAAAAGGCTTATGTTGATTTAGTGATTTATGAAAAAAAAAAGTAGATTTTAGATTTTATGGCAGATTTTCTCCGTGTACATTTGGACACAAAGATGTCAAAAAGGTTTACAATGCATTAAAAGTATGGATGACATGTGAGAGTTAAAAATGCTTGATTATAAAAAAATTTGACCTAACATTTCCTGCAAAAGTTCATGCCACAAGCTATAACATAGACACATCGATTGGCAAATCAAAAAAAAAAAAGTTGAAAAGAATGAAATGCACAAAGATGCCCAAGGAGGGCAGAAGGGTTAAACAAAACTTTTTGGACTTGACAGTAGAAGTCTGAGCTCCGCCTCCATTTCAAATCAAATCAAATCAAATCACTTTTATTGTCACATCGCATGTGCAGGCACACTGGCACAGCACATGCGAGTGAAATTCTTGTGTGCGAGC